AAGTTTGAGTTAGGTTTGAGTTTAGGTTGTACAGAGTTACTATTCAATAAATATGTTGTAATGTAATGTAATGGCTAAGTGTCTTATGCTTATGTAAACTAGTTAATACTAGGTGTTTATTATAGTATTGAGTTAGTATTGGGTTCGTATTGAGTTATTGAGTTAGTATATGATGTGTAATGCTTTTTGTTCTTTCTAGGCTTGTTTATTGATATATACCAGATTACTTGCTTTATAAGACAAGATAAGAAAAGAATATAAGATAAGAATATAATATAATATAAGAATACCAACTCAATACCAACTCAACACCAACTCAATACCAACCAAACACCAACTCAATACTAACCCATTTTAAATTTTCACATTCAATGGAAGATCGTGCACAACTCATTCCAAATAGTAAGCTAATAGACACTCTAGCCCTAATAGATAAAGAAGAAAAGATAGATAAAACAGCAGTTACAATGATTTCACAATTTACTGAAAAGTATATCAATGATATCTTAACTAGAGCATCTCTTCTAGCCAAGCACAAAGGCAATAAAGCTATCTCAGAAGATGACGTCCGTTTTGTTCTTGAGACCGAATTCGACTATTTCATTCCGACTGGTAAATAAACATCCAAAAGACTATCTATTTAGTTTGTTATACGGTTATATTAGGATTAGAACAATATTTAGATTGAATTAGTACTGATTGTAGAAGGCCAAAGTTATCTTAACATGCTTTAAGACAGATTATAAACTATCGTATGGTAGTAGTATGGCCTGGATTGTAGTAGTGGGTATTGGGTTGGGTTAGCATTGAGTTGGGCATTTGGTTGGCAAACATAATACCAGACTACATCTCTCATAATACCCACTACAATCCTAACTTAATACCAACCTAACTTAATACTTATCTAATACCCACTCAATACTTACCTAATACCATACCAACTCAACTCAGCTCAACTCAAACCCACTCAATCCTAACTCAACCCACTCAATCCTAACTTAACTCAAACCTAACCCACTCCAAACCAAACCTAACTTAACTCAACTAAATACTTACCTAATAGTGTTTATTTGTTATTTAGCATATCCAGCTGATAGTAACTTACGCGAGAAATCAGCCAGAGATCCAGATAAGCTAGAGGGACCGTCCTCTAGTAACATAGCTTGAAAACCTTCTAGTAAGAAAGCATGTCCTTGTTGATGAACTGAATAAACAGTTGGATCAACTACTCGGCCACTAACCATATGTTCTAAAATTGCCCGGACTCGAGCATGGTCTTCATCTTCTGGTAAAACCACTCGGCCTTCCATTCCACCACAAACCTGGTACCCAGAACTCTCACCAGTAAATGTATAGGCCACTATCCCGGCATCAAGTAAATAAGTCCCATCCGTACCAATTACAGTTGCTGAAAGTCGTAAGGGGTAGGGCAATGCTATACCTTCCTCGCCTTCTTCATCCAAACCGGCTACTTCTTCATCTATCCGCACTAGAATAGGATAGATAATTGCATCAACTACTGAGACGGGTAAAGTACGAATCCCATGCCAGAGTACTGCTCTTAAATCCGGTGAAACACCTTTAAACACTTTGTTCTTCACCAGGCCGTAAACTAGCCGGGGAAAAGCTCCCATAGCTCCATCCACTCCAATCTTCATAATTGCACTAGCTGCTAAGGTAGCTGCACATTGAGCACCTGCCCCTCGAGTCGCACACTCCTTATCTAGAGCCTGTAAAGCAATAGCATGAACTGTAGCTTGAGGATCTATTCCCGTTGGTCCTAACTCGACTGTAAAGTTAAGTACACGCACAGTCCTTTCCCCAGCTACACTATTATAAATCACTGCTACTTGAAAGGAAATACCTTTCAAAACCAAGTCCGTATCATAATCTGCTTCAAAAGAGAAAGTCTTCCCTCGTCTTAGTAAGGGTAGTTTAATCAGTCCTGAGTCCTGAACAACCACTCCCCAGTACTTACGAATTGTCACTCCTTCTGAAGACCTTACCCGGCAGTAAGTATGCGAGCCACTACAACTGCCTAAGTGCTGGACTAAATCCCGATGTAAACTCTCTCGATCCGGTTCATGATTGCCTAAGAAGGCCGGGTAGTACCTTAAATCACCTCCAGTACTTTCTACTACTGATAGTAAAGCCGGAGCTTCAACTGTCTTACTAGCTAGAATAAACAAAGAGACAGAAACACTCCGGGCTAGTAATTGCTCAGTCAATCGGTCGTAATAGTTCAGTTTCGTACCTAAACAAGCACCAGCTGGAACAGCACATTCCTTAACTGCTGGGGCAGAAGAGATAAAAGCCTGAACATGTCCTCCTCGGTGTAGAATATGACTAGCTACTTTAAGTACTAGTCCAAAATTACTAGGTACTTCTCTTTCCGTATGTAAAATCATCTTCTCAGCTTCAGTTAAGAGTTCAGGCAGTCTATCCTTAACTGTTTTAAGAGAAACAACGTATTCTGAGTCCATAAGCATAGGTAGAGTCCCATCTATTTCATTAATCGTATCAAGAACCGGTTTATCTTGATTTAATCTTAAGACTTGCACTGACTGGCCAAAGAAAAGGATGGCTAGTTCTGCCCGATGGTGTGGGTCTTCAATAGCTGCTAAAGCCTCTGGTATTTCATCAACTAAAGCTGCCAGTGCTCCCCTTTCAATTGCTTCAACTGTAGCTTCAATAGCAAAGACAAAGACGGGAGGAGGTGGGGTAGCTCTTTCTAAGCTAGAAGGAAACTCAATAACATCATAGGTCAGTAAGGGATCACCACAAGCACTACGATTATTCTCAGCATTTTCATTGGGACTAAAGACTCTTAAAGAGGCCCCATAAGAATGAAGGGGAGAACTTACGTCATTAAGACTCTTACAAATAGAACAACGCCATTTATAACCAGGCGGAATGACTTCACAATAAGGATTGATATAAGCCTGGCAAGAAGTGCAACGATGGGCAGTAGGAGTCTTGACGGCTTCATCAAGAGATATGGCTGGCAGAGGAGTGACTGATACGACAAAAGGAACGCCTGTTTTCTTTAAATCAGCTTTCTTTTCTGGGGCAGAAGTGAAAGTACAACGAGTATATAGATAACGCTCTCCTTTAACATATGCAATCAATTCGTCATTTTCAATTGCAGCCGAATGGGCCGAAGGATGTGCTCCAATATGCATGAGTTTTTCAAAACAAAAATGCATTTATTGAGCGATTAGGGATAGGTTAGATGAGGGTTAGGTGTGGGTGAAGTTTGGGTTGATTGGGTTGTTGGGTTGTGTTATATTGGGTTGTTTTATGTTGGGCTGTTTTATAGCCGGTATTGATAAGGTTGATTGATTTCACAATTTTAAATTAAAGATAAGATTTAGTTTAGGTTAGATTGTATTGGGTTTGGGTTAAGTTAAGTTTGGGTTGTGTTGTGTTTGGTTTGGTTTAGGTTGTGTTGGGTTTAGATTAGTTAAGTTTAAATTAGGTTGGATTAAGTTTAGATTAGATTAGTTAAGTTAGTAATTAGATGTCAATGTTAAATTCATTAAGATAACCAATTGGGTTAGTAGATATTGAATTAGTAGATATTGAATTAGTAGATGTTGAATAAGTAGATGTTGAATTAGTAGATATTGAGTTAGTAGATAATCATTTAATTATTGCTTAGGCAGATGTACTGGCTAAGAACTGGTCTAGGATTTGGGCGGAAGTTGTGGCTGCTTCAATTGGTTTGTCTTCTCGTTTACGGATGAAGCGGGGAAATCTTAGGGAAAGACCTTTGCCTTCTGGCAGCTCTGGTGAGTTTTTGGCGGCAGTGTACTTGGGGGAAAGAGAAATACTAGCGGCGGCTACTTCCCAAATAATCTGCGGCTTAAACCAAATATCAGGCTGGGGTGGCCCGGAAATATCAGCGGTAGGAGTGGAAGATTTATACGCTTCTAGCTCGGTACTAGCCGCTTGGAGGAAGGCTTCTGAGAAACCAGTTCCTATCTTAGTAAGGGTCTGAACTTCGCCCTCTTCATTAAGACAGCCTAGTAAGAACCCGCCATGCACTCCCGTTCTTTTGCCTTTGCCGGCATAGGCCCCAACTACAATCAAATCAAAAGTATCGTGCATGCCTTGAATATAATCGGACTTTAGCTTAACCCATTTCTGACTGCGTTTAGATGGCTCATAAGTAGATGTGCTGCCCGTACTTTTAAGCATTAAACCTTCACAACCAAAGAGAAGGGCTTGACTAAATAAAGTATTCATCCTATCAATATCCGTAGCTTGTAAGACTTCAGCAGTCACTAGAAATACTTCTCCTGGAACAGGTTGGAAATGTTTAGCTAATTGAGCCTTTCTTTCCAAAAGTGGTAATTTGATAAGCGGCTGATCAAAAAAGATAATATCAAAAAGAAACAGAGCTACATCTGCTTCTTCCTTCTCTTTGTTCTCTTCCGTTAGTTTTCTCTTCCGATTAGATAGCATTTGAAAACTCAAAGTCTTATCTTGCACTCGATCATATGCCACTACTTCCCCGTCCAAAATATAATCACACGGCCCCGGATAGGCCTTCTTTAAATAAGCAATCACCGCCGCATACCTTTCAGTTATTAACTCCAGCCCCCGACTGAACAACTTAATCTCCTGCTTAACCGAATGAATCTGAATCCGCTCGCCATCATATTTATACTCAGCTACAAAAGACCCCTCTTTAAACCGAGCCAAAGCCAAATCAGGCCCTTTCTCAGCCAAAGCCAACATTGGCCGCAAAGGATACCCCGGTGTAACCAAAGAACTATCCAACCCCCCTAACCCCTGTGCAAACAGTACCTCTACTATCCTACTAAAAGAAGGCAACTGGGCGTATGCTTGTTTGACCTTCTCCATAGCCTCTTCTTCGTCCACTCGCCACTCTATCTCCTCACCCCCCACCTTACTACCACCCACTTCATTAGTACTACCTACCTCGCCATTCTTATCCATATCACCATCCTTATCTATATCACCATCCTTATCCATATCACCATCCTTATTCTTATCCTTATCTATATCACCACTTACCTTCTTATCTTTATCCACCTCACCATCACCATCACCATCCCTACCCAACCCGATCCTATTGCTATTAGCCATACAATGTCCTAAGGCACACAAGGCTGTTTGAGTTGATATACCAATTTTAAGTTTACCATCTACTAACCTGATCAGATACTTAATCTCATCATCACTTTGGCACTCACTTAGTAAGACGGCAATTTCTTCAGTCTTCCGCTTAGCAGCCTCCTTACCTGTAATTCTAGCAATACCCTGCAACCGATTGAACACCCCGGCTAAAGTTAACTTCTTGGTCTTCGGCCCAAAGGCCAGTCTTAATCCTTTCCGGGCTTTAACAACCACCGAGATATCTCCAGCTGATTTAGCCTTTTCCCTTAAGGACTCAACCGGACTAGCACTAAACATACTTAAGGCCCGCAAGAGAATGAATTCACCCGTATTCATTTCTATCCCCGCCGATTCCGAACTAATCCGGGCAATCGCTAAGTACAAAGCAACCTCTAAATCATATCTCTTTAACCGGCCAAAAAACGAACTAAGGGCCAAAATAATCTCCTTACGCCCGGACAACCTCTCTATCCCGGCAAAGCAAGCAACACATTCTTGCCACAGTATCTCCTCTGACGTCATAATGAAAAAAAGGGCTCGCCGGGACTTGAACCCGGGACATTCCGATCTGCAGTCGAATGCTCTACCGCTGAGCTACAAACCCGCCAACCACAACTGCAACCATGACCCTAGACACTATTTAACAACCAACATATATATATCGCAATGGGTTTATTTTTATGAGGGTTCTCCGGCTAACACGTAGTAAGTTCCCTCTAAGTACTTCTTCAGTGCTAGATATCTTCCAAAAAATCGAAACCAAAATAGACTCAATTAGATACGATACGGCTGCTGGAATTTCTCCAAGTCCTGGTGACCTTTTCTTAGTTGATGCTTTAGATGGATTTATTAGTGATGGCAAGACTTACTGTGTGCCAGCTGATGTCTTTCATGAAGCTAATTTCAAAGCTGTGATTGAAAGAACCAAAGATACTCCTTCTCTTTTTCGTTTTATCTACTATAACCGAGATAGACGGTATCGTTTAGTTCATTATTTAGTTTGTGAGCCTAAAGCAGCTGGTGAGGCCAATGGGTCTAAATCAGCCGTTAAGCCTTCTTTTGCTGAGGAGATAGCTTTAGAGTTCTTAGGGTCTTATAAGTTGTTGAAAGATGCCATTCTAATGCAAAATGAAGCTGAGCCAATGGAGGAGTTAGATATGGAGTATTGGAAACGGCTAGTGAGACGATGGCAAGAGGGATTAAGTTAAGTTTGTTATTTGCTTTAGATTAGATTGTGTTAAGATTAGATTGGGTTTAGATTGTTATTTGCTTTAGATTAGATTTGGGTTGTGTTAAGTTGTGTTTTGAATTAGATTAGATATGGTTTGGGTGTTATGAAGTATTAGATAAAGATTTAGTTAAGTATTTAGTTAAGTTTTGGTGTTGTACTAGGATAGTTAAGTCTTTATTATGTCTTTATTATGTCTTTATTAAGTCTTTGTTAAGTTATGAATAGATGTAGATATCAACTAAATACTTAACTTAACTTAACTCTATCTACCTCAATTAGAGATTAAGTTAGGTTGTGTTTAAGTTGAGTTGGGTTGAATTGGGTTGAGTTGAGTTGAGTTAGTTTGGAGTTATAATAAATGGGTGTTATATTAAGATACAAGTGAGTTAGTATTGAGTTGAGTTGAGTTGAGATATGATGTGATAAGTATGTGATAAAATACGTATGTGATAAGTATGTGATATGATAAGATATGTATTATTTTGAGATAAGATATGTATTATTTTGAAATAAGATGTGTATTAATTTGAGATAAGATATGTATTGGTGATATCTTAACTGGATACTCATTCAATCAGTGGAGATGAGTGCTGTTATTGGCAGTTGGACTGGTTTTAGGGGAAAGGAGAGAAAAGGAGTACTTGGTTAATGGACCAATAGAATGAAACAAGAGATGGCTGGAGTTATAAGTCTGTTTTTATTTTGTTTGGTTGTATTTACATGCAGTCTAAGCTGAGTTCTGAGTTGACGTACTATCTTAAAGAAAAGGCTGAGAAAAAGGTTTCCATTAAGGACTTCTTGAGCTTTAATGGTGCTTCTTTGCCAGAGAATCTTGAATGTGCTAAATCTCGGATTGTGATTAACTATGGGAATATGTTTGGTAATTATTTGCTTATCTTTGGAGTGGTAATCTGCTTATACTTGATTATGCATCCTATCTTGATTATACCGGCGGTGTTTAGTGGGGCTATGCTTTATATGATTACTAAGTGTGAGGGAGAGGAGGTGATTATCTTTGGGAACAACTTTAAGCGCGAACATCTTTACTTGGCGGCTGTGGTTGTTCCGGTACTCTTTCTTATTTTGATGCCTTGGACCTTAGTCTCTCTTTTCTTTACACTGAGTATTGGTCTGATGCTTAGTGTTGGGCATATGCTGGTTTTTAAGCCAGTAGTGGCAGCTGAAGATGTCTAAGTCAATTTGGTTAGTAATGAATTGAGTTGATCCGGGTTTGAGATGAGATGAACTGATATGAGTTGATGCAATCTTATCTTGATAGTGAGTTACTTAACATAATCTTAAAAAGGATTACAACTCTACTGAAATTGGATTGGGTTAATTATTGGATGGTTTTAAATAAAATGAACATCTAGTACTTCGTTGAGATTTAGTTAGGATTTAGTTGGTATTTAGTTGGTATTAGTTAGGATTAGATGGGCGTCAACTTAGGTTAGAGATACTTAATTAGTGTGGTGTTCTCGCCGGCCTCCACTTCAAAGTGAGTTATCTACAGGAGTGTAGTGCTGTAATGTTTATCGGCCTGGTAGTGATCGCAACGAACGCGATTAAACCTTGAATTAGAAATCACAATTATCTTGAATTGGGTTAGTATTGATACTAATATGAGTTTACAGACTATCTCAAAATGACGTACGATAAAGAGAACTTAAGCTATACCAACCCAATACTAACCCAATCTGATTCGATTAATTTAGTTTTACATATCTACCCTACAATTCAATATGACGTCATCTTCTCACACAACCATATTTATTTAACAAATCACATCGATACTCGTCTCAAGGAATGTCTTTAATAGAGTCGGTGTTGGCCAATGAACCATATCCAACTCATGGCCATGGAAATACTAAAATGCCATCGGACACCTCTAATGAAGTGTCTAAGAGCTTGCCATCCTTATTAAAAGAATTGGATTTAAGGTATTCAGTAAGGCCTATAACATAAATCTTTAGGCGACTGATAGGCGGTCGTTTGCGTTTTGGAAGGTTAGTATCAATAACTAGGCATTCACAAGTTGGGAGATCTTTGCCTTTCGCGGTTCTGGCTCTGCAAATCAACATTGTTGAATGATGACTCCAAAGAAGGGCAAGTTATGCCCGGCAAAGTGATAAGAATCTCAAGAGGTTTCTTCGTAGCATTCAGCTTTGGGTTTTCGAACAGTGTTAAGAGCTGGGCTAGGATTAATAAACCAGCAGGGCCGCGAGGATTCGATATCTCAACACTTTCCACATTGAGTATCAATTTACTGAACTTCTTTTAAGACATCTAGTAACTCCGTCAGTTCACTTTCTTCCCAATCAAGAGTCAGGGAAAACATATCTTTATCTTGCAACGAAGTGCTAGATAGTCCATACTTTCTGGATTGATTAGCTTCGTTGATATCAAACATTCTCCAAACAGGAGTGGATTTGAATCCATAGTTGCTTCTGTTACTTATAAACTTCCAGAGAAGCATTTCTTGCTCTGAGTCTAACTTAGTATACAACCCTGTTGATCCAACCCGGGCTGTTTAAGCCCATATCCATTAAAAGATGACGTAGAATCTTGGTCAGCAGATCTGCTACCCGAATGAAGCTTACCGCACATGCCAGATTTGTTAGTTTGGGGATTGCTTGATTGAGTTCTTGAAGTAGAGGGTTCTGAACCAGTGGGCTTCTGTTCACTTACACTTTCACTTTTGACTTCCATGTTTTTAGGCCCATCAACAAGCCAAACTAGCGCTTCTTCAATTATCCTAGATATGTTGTCGAGGCTTTTGAGTTCATCATACTTCAAGAATTTATCTATCGTTGAATCCCCAACTTGAGTTAGATAGTTCCGGTCTAACCTATTAATATTAGGTCTTATTTTCATTAGTTCTGTTACCATGATCGTAGCGAATCGGCGTTTTAATTCATGGGAATCGCATCGGGCGCCTATTGCGATTAGACCATTTTCAATTCTGCTTATTTTTGGATTGGGGAATTGATTTTGTGGGCCCTTTAAGTCACTCTTCTCAATTTGGTGTATTTGCTTTACTATAATTGCTAGCTTGCCTATGATCTCCCGTCGCGATTCCTTTGACATCGGGGCATTCTTGCATTCAAATAACCATTGTTCCATTTGTTGGATAACTATATCAAGACTTTCCCGTATTAATTCTTCTTTAACTAGTACAGATATCGCCTTAATCTTCATCTGTTCGAACACATCCTCTAATTTGTCAAGGCAGCTGGGATTGCTTTGGATTGACTTCAAGCCCTTATAAAGCTGTTGTTCTTGTTTCATGCGGTCCTGTTGGTCCAGCTTTATTATATCTATTCGCATTGCTCGTTTATTCCTTAAGGCTTTCAGCTCGTCTATTGCATTGGTTATCTCATCATAAACCAATGCCATTTGACTATCTATATATAACATGATCCTTTTAGATATATCAAACAACCCCATCTTATCTGAATCCTCACCAGCACTACACCAGACACAACCCAAACCAATAACCAAGAAAACTACTTGATAAACATTCAAAGAGTATCTATTCATGCTTTTGTTCATTTTACAATTTGCTATCTTATATTTTTATTTATAGGCTATAGTATATCAATATCAAAAATATTCTAGTTGTAGCCAAGCAAATTCTCTAAATTAGTAGAATATCAAAAAGACTTACTTTCTAAGTATGTCTATTCAATACCAACCCAATACCAAACCAATACGACCACTACTAACCCAACCCAAAGATCAACCTAATGTTTTGCCAGCTAATTACGCCTTGCAACTTTAATAGAGTCAATCTTATTCAACCAATTTAGTTTTATATATCTACGCTACAATTCAATATGACGTCATCCTCTCACACAACCATATTTATTTAACAAATCACATCGATACTCGTCTCAAGGAAGGTCTTTAATAGAGTTGGTGTTGGCTAATGAGCCATATCCAACTCATGATCATGGAGATGTTGAAATGTCAGGGGACACCTGTAATAAAGTGTTTAAGGGCCTGCCATCCTCATCAAAAGAATTGGGTTGAAGGTATTCAGTAAGGCCTGTAACACAAATCTTTGTGGGGCTGTTAGACGGTTGGTCTCGGACTGAAAGGTTAGTCTTAATAGTTAGGCATTCACAAGTTGGAAGATCTTTGCCTTTCGCGGTCCTGGCTCCTAAACTAACAATAGTATTCTCCTTTTGGTAGTCTAATTCTAATTTGAGGGTGAATCGGTCTATCCAGTTGACATCGTTAAGAAAGTCTATCTTGTCCATTTGGGGGAGGAATATACCTATTGCGGACATTGATAAATGGGTTGCTAGTGGCCAAATGAACTCCTGCACATTTGATGTGAGTTCATGAATACTCATGCTGATAATGTATCGCGACTCTTCGATCTCCTTAATCTGGTTTCGGAACTGCTCTCGTTTCTTGTCATCATTGAATGATGACTCCAAAGAAGGGCAAGTTCTATACGGCAAAAAGATAAGAATCTCAAGAGGTTTCTTCATAGCACTCAACTCAGGGTTTTCGAACAGTGTTAAAAGCTGGGATAGGACCAACCAACCTGCAGAGTTGTAAGGAGTCTGTAGCCAGATACTTTTCGTATTGAGTATGAATTTACTGAACTTCTTTAAGACATCTAGTAACTTCATCACTTCACTTTCTTTCCAATCAAAGTCCAGCAAAGCCCAATCTCTACCTTGCAACGCAATGCCAGATAGTCCATACTTTCTGGATTGATTATCTTCGTTGATATCAAACATTCTCCAAACAGGGCGGGTTTCATCTTCTAATACGTACTGGTCACTGCGACTTATAAACTTATGAAGGAGCTTTTCTTGCTTTGGGTCTAACTTAAGTGTACAATCCTTTTGATCCAACTCGGATAGTTGAATTATATCGCTATCAGAAGATGACGTAGAATCTTGGTCAGCAGACTTCCTACCTGAATGAAGCTTGCCGTCCATGCCAGATTCGTTAGTTTGGGGATTGCTTAATTGAGTTCTTGAATTGGATGGTTCTGAACCAGTGGGCTTCTGTTCACTTTCACTTTCACTTTTGACTTCCATTTCTTTAGACCTACCATCAAGCCAAACTAGCGCTTCTTCAATTATCCTAGATATGTTGTCGGGGCTTTTGGGTTCATCATTTATCAAGAATTGATCTATCTTTGATTCCATAACTTGAGTTAGATAGTTCCGGTCTAACCTATTAATATTAGGTCTTATTTTCATTAGTTCTGTTACCATGATCGTAGCGAATCGGCGTTTTAATTCATGGGAATCGCATCGGGCACCTATTATGATTAGCTCATCTTCAACTTCGCTTCTTTTTAATTCGAGGAGTCGTTTTCGTATGTGCATGAAGCGACTCTTCATTTGTTCTAGTCGTTCTAATAGTTTTTCCATCTTATCTATGCCCGTCGCTTGCAATATCTCTGACGCCAGGCCATTCTTACATTCATCTAACCATTCACTTAGTTGCCGGATAAATACATCAATACTTTTCTGTACTACTTCTTCTCTGACTAGTTGAGATATCAAGTTAATCTTCTTTTGTTCGACTAGATTCTTTGATTTGTCAGAGAAGCTGCAATCGCTTTGGGTTGAGTTCATGTTCTCAGAAGCCTCTTGTTCTTCTTTCTCAAGGTTCTGTTGGCACTGCTTTATTTGATCTATTTGCTTTGTTTGATTCTCGCTTAAGACTTTCAGCTCGTCTATTGCATTGGTTATCTCAACACAACCCGTTGCCATTTTACTATCTAGATTTAACAGGATCCTTTTAAATATACCAAACAACCACATCTTATCTGACTTCCTATCAGAACTACACCAGACACAACCCAAACCAATAACCAAGCAAACTACTTGATAAACATTCAAAGAGTATCTATTCATGCCTTTGTTCATTTTGTAATTTGCTATCTCACATTTTATTTATAGACTATAATATATCAATATCAAAGATCTTCTAGTCTTAGCCAAGCAAATTCTCTAAATTAGTAGAATATCAAAAAGACTTACTTTCTAAGTATGTCTATTCAATACTAACTGTGGTGTCCGTGCCATTCCCCACACATCTTTAATGAGGATCTCGAGATATCTCTACTTTTAGACGAGTAAGTACATATAATGTAGATATTTATTCCGTATTACTTTAGATAAGCTAAGATATTCCAAAAGAAATCTCAATCTTGTTATCACTAGTTTCAGAGATAAATATACGACAAAGATTAATAAAGGACTTTCTATGACTTCCATGAGATACATGAAAGATCCGCACAGAACTATATCAGAGCTAGAAACGGCTCAGACTCGCACCCCTGAACCTCAACTCGAACCTCTAATCAATAAAACCGACATCAGCCTGAATAATGATTTGTCTTTCGTTGAGTATATTTGGATGAGAGGTCTCTATCCTCCCCCGGGACACAACACTAACCCAATACCAAACCAATACGACCACTATTTAGCTCCCATAAGATCAACCTAATGTTTTGCCAGCTAATTACGTCTTGCAACTTTAATAGAGTCAATCTGGTTGGACATCAAGACCAAAGTACTTCTGAGACAGTTTTGATAGGTTAATTTTCAAAAGACCGACTCAATTGGACTGAGTTAGTATTAAGTTAGCATTGAGTTAGTATTGGGTTCAGTTTATTGGTTATGAGGGCAAAATCTTCTAGCATTGGTTTAAGATTGTATTAAGATAAAATAAGATGATGTCATTTTTCAAGCATTAAGATATACTATTAGTCCAAGCATTTGACCTTGCTTCAAATACTAACACCAGCTACATATCTAACCCAATCCAATCCAAACCCAATACCATCTCAACCCAATCCCAATTTAACATTATAATATAGTCTTGTATTAAGTTGGTTTATTAGTACTGGTGCCAGTTAATCGGGTAAGTATTAAGCCAAAACTCTAAGATTGCCCATGGCTTAATAGTTAAGTTAGGCCGGGATTTATCCATAGTGCCGGCGCATCAACCGACGGACTTTTCCAGCTGGTGTTTCTAATTTCATCGGGACTATCTCCTCAGTAAAGACTTCGCGCATTTCCGTAGCAATCTCACTATCAAGTGAAATCATATCACCTGGAATCTTTTCTAGCATTCGGCGTACTTCACTTTCACGTTTAGCAGCACGTGATACCCAGGGATTTTCATCACGTCGGTACTCCAAAGCACCCGCTCCCGGTACAACAATGTTCTCAATCCCTTGCGTAGTTCCAATAGCTAGTATGTCCTCATAAGGCATAAAAGTCACCCCACCAACTTTATTCCGGCCTAAACTATGCTCCATCTCCTTAACTCCCTCACTATCAAATAAATGCACAACTCCACGTAAGCCCACAGCTACTTTACGCGTATCACTAACGGCTAAATCGGCCGCCGGTCCTAATAAAGAGACCTTCTGGACCGGGCTAAAAGTATTCCTCATATCCCAACAGGCCAACTCTAAACCAGCCGTAGTATACATATACTGGCCACACCCACTCGTCTTAATATTACTAATCTTCCCCCGATGACAAAGCACTTTAGCCAATGCCTCAGACGTCCGTGGACTCCATAAGCTCACTACTCCATTTCTATTCCCAGTAAATACTACGCCATTAGTCCGATCATGAGTTAGCACAGGTACTCTAGCCTTAGTACTAATATCAGAAACAAGTTTACCCACCGTTGTATCTTGATACCGTAACTGGCCATGTTCGGATAAGGAGCACAATAAGAAATGGTCCTGCAAGAAACACACACGTCTTACTGCCACGTGTTCACGCAAAACATGCAACTCCACTCCATCCCGGCGATAAATATATAACCCACCCGTTTGGGCCAAAGCAAAGTATCCAGCCGAGTGCAAGAAAGTCCCATCATGAACCGTATCACCCACTTTTAATTCAGCCGTTACATTCAGATCAGCCGTTCCAATTAAGTTAGCTTGATTACCTCCAAAGTAAAGAACTGCATCTCCAGAAGGCGTATAAGCTGCTTTAAAAGGTCCTTCGCCTAAGTTTAACTTATAAGTCTTATCTAAAGTTCCAATATCTATTTGTGACTTAAATTCTTCATATTTTAAATCTCTGTGACCTCCTATTATATTACCTATTTTACCTGTAGAAAGAATATCATACATATGTTTGGTTTTTAAAGCTGTATCTTTAACCGCTAGACGTCGCGCGATATCTTCTTGTTGTCTTCGAAGTGTCATTTAAAGAAAATTGCGTTGCAAAGTTTAAGATGGAAGAGGATGAAGGCCGGGGTACTAAGGTTGTTTATGATGGTAAACGTATGCGTAAAGCCATTACCAGACGTAATGTTGATTATAACGGTCCGATTTTAAAACATAAATTAGGAGGTCGTTTTGGGATAGTACAAAAACATCCATTATATTCTATCTATGTACCCCCTGTAACGGGTGCTTGTTCATTATCTAATACTTTAACTGTTAATTTAGCGCATACTAGTATCAATAAGGTAAGAACGCCTATTAATGCTGTAAAGTATGCTCCTAATGGGAAGAGACTTATTTCCGGAGCAGCTACAGGTGAGTTTACCCTTTGGAATGGGTTTAGCTTTAACTTTGAAACGATCTTACAAGCCCATGATACAGGCGTAAGATCTATGTGCTGGACACCTCATGGGGACTTTTTAGTCTCTGGAGATCATGCTGGTACAGTTAAGTATTGGCAGCCTTCCATGAATAACATTCAGATTTTAGAGGCCCATAAGGAAGCAATTAGGGATATTAGCTTTTCACCGCGTGGGACTAAATTCTGTACGGCTTCTGATGATGGAACGATTAAGGTCTTTGACTTTCAGGAGACTAAGGAGGAGGCAGCATTGACGGGACATGGTTGGGACGTTCGGGTGGCGCAGTGGCATAAAAGACACGCACTGATTGCTAGTGGGGGTAAGGATAATTTGATTAAGCTTTGGGATCCACGTGGGAAGGAGAAGACTACTTTGCACATTCATAAGAATACTATTCTGTGCTTGAAATGGACAAATGATGGCGAGTCGATTCTATCAGGGGGTAAGGACCAGGTGATTAAGATGTTTAACTTGCGGGCGATGAAAGAAGAGTTTGCGCATAAGGGTCATCAGAAGGAAGCGACTGCCTTATGTATGCATCCCTGTTTAGATAGTTTGTTCGTTTCTGGTGGTGGTGAAGGTGCCGTTTATATTTGGCAGAAGCATAATGAGTATCCAATTAGGGTTATTCCTGATGCGCATAATAAGACT